AGTCACTGCTCACTGATAATGAAGCTCAAGACAATGCATCCACCTGTATTGAATCGAGACCTAGGTTTCCTGTCTCATTACCAATGCTGATTTCTCCACGCCTATTACCCCTCAGCATATCTCACCTAAATCCAATCATACCTACTATGGTCATTCATCTGCTATTGTCATTTGCCTGCTAATTTCATTCAGCATCTGAAATCACTCCACTTTCCAACAAACAGGACAGATGGACTCCCATTCTATCTGTACCTGAAGAAGTGAGCAGTGACTCACGGACGCTCATACCCTGCCACATACTGTGTTAGTCTTTAAGGTGCTACTGGACTCTTGCTGTCTTCTACAGCTTAAGCTCTAGTGTCAGTCGCAAATTTCATACAAACAAGGAACCTGCCTAGCAACAAACAAGTACTGGACTTTACTGACACGAATAACTGCTACGTGATGATTGCACTTACTGCACCCAGATCATTTGAAAATTCCACCAATGTATCAGGAAAAGATATCACCTCAATGGGAAAGGAAACTCTAGGTGCTGGATCCTGGCACCTACACCTTTCCCTGCTCCAGGGGCTTTCACCCTTTTTATAGTGGAGATCTGTGAACAGATGTCTGTATTTACTTCCTACCCATTCTCACCAAGTTGGTGCGATACCCTCAGATCAAGGGATCTGCAGATATTTTTTGCAATAATATCATCTGCATTCAGCATCCTTCTCAAAGAAAACCACATTCAGTTTTCAAAAACTTGAATCTGAGAATCCCTCACCCCAGGTGTTGGGCAGCCTTCAGCGCTAGGGAGTTCCTGGGTGGCACCAAGACTAGAACTCGGCCTCACTTTAAAAGAGGATGGAGCCCCCACTTCAGTTACGGCTTTCTCTGGAATCGCCTGTTTGTCCCTGCACTGAACCTTCATCTCTAAAGATCAATAAACACAGGAAGATATTATTTCAGTGCTTCATATGAGGTACAGACACTTCAAAGGGTGCCACTGAAATCAGCAGTACTAATGAAATAACCCGTGTTTGAGACCAATCTAAGAGAGGAGCGGAAGTTCTAAAGGGGCTGGGAGATGACTAGGGAACCACACAGTTCAGGACTATAAATCAAGAACAGCACCTTGACCTGAAAATCCACCATATGTCAAAGCAGTTGGGGAAGCCAAAGAGTGAATGTTATGCTGGAAAAGGGCCACGACAATAGGAAATTCTCTTATATTCTTGATTCGCCAGCCATGCCAGCTGTTTCCATGTGAACATCATGCAATGAACTTAGCCTGGATATACTTGTGGGACATGAATGCAATTGTCTGGAGATTTGCCAACCGGGCGCTCAACATCGATCTGTGCTGAGTTCGGCACCTGTCTTCAGTATTCACATAATGGGCTCAGGCAGTTGCAAGAATTAATACAGGTGGACGAAACCCACTGGCTGGCACATGATTCTGGAAAGAAAACCCTGAAGTCCTTCACTGACGACCAATCCCTATGTGCACATCTGGGCCGCCCATCTCTTCCCCACCTTCCTCTGCATCAGCAGTGATATAACAAGCAAATGACGCAACAGAAAGCAGAGGAGAAAGTGAGAACAAGAAACAAGGAAACACGTGGAGTTGTTGTTACACTTTGTATTGGGTCTGGGGTTAGCACGGAGCCTGGAGATTTTGACGTAGCAAAATTTATGCAATGCCGTAATCTTTGGTTGATGGTGCAATCTATTGACAACATAGGGTGATAAGTGGCTGCATCCACTGAACCAATTAAGAGTATTTCTACATCAACTGAGGCTGTCACATTTGCTTCAATGCTGAACGCTCCTGCTCATCCACAAGTTTATCACTTGTATTGAGGAAACTCCCCAGATATCGTGAATGTGTCCCCCTCCCGATTTTATTTTTGCTGCTGTTTTGACTCATAACTATTGATTGTATTTTAAATTTTAATTTAAAAAAATCTATGAAAAAAACAAAAACCATCATGCTAGGATGGGATCTAAATCTAATGCACCAGAACAGGGAGTTCTGAAGCAAATTGGGACCCCAAGACCTGAGCTGAGGGCAGCCCAGGTCTAAGTGTAGAACTTGCAAAAGTAATTTTGCATCATTTAATGCGTCGTGTTAACCCTTATGTTCTGCTTCAGTTCTGTTTTTTTAGACTTCTGGTTGGACCTGCCACTCAGATCTTATTTCATTGCTTACTGGATGTTCCAACCCCTTGACTGTACTCCCTCTGTGTGATCTGCCTTGAATCCCAGTGAGAGAGGACTATAAATAATGTAAATAATTAAATAAAAACAAATAAACCCAAATGCAGAGGTGGGGCTGTGGCTCTGGTAGCACATCTGCTTTGCACACAGAAATTTCCACATTCAGTCCCTGATACCTCCAATTAAAAAGATCAGGTAGGAGGTGACACGAAAGACCTCTGCCTGAAACCCTGGAAGACTGCTGCTAGTCCGAGTAGACAATGCTACCCCTGACAGAGCAATGGTCTCATTTCAGTCAAAGGCAGCTTCATGCATACCTGTCAATAGACTGTTTAGTGGGCAAGAGCAGGATGGAAAAGGGCACAGCAGAGTATAAATCAAGGCTACTGGGAGCTTTGGTGATGAATGTCTTACCCATCCTAAGTCCTTGCAGTGAATCAGGCCATGTCCAATGACATACAGAAACAGTAAGAGAGTAAAAAGTCCAGTAGCACCTTTAAGGCTAACAAACTTTATTGTCGCACACACTTTTGAGAAACACAGCTCTCTTCGTCAGATGCATTTTACTATTTTGCAGCAACCGCCTAACACCACTAACTCCTAACAACAGAAACAGCAAGAGTTCATGAACAGAAATAAAAATATTTCTGAGAGAACTCCCCCCTCCCCCCCCACACACTTCTTTTTCTGAGCATCTTCATGGAGAACGCTGCACCATCTCCTCGGAATTAACAATATTTCCTGCTTCACCCCCCCCCCCACTGCTAGACTATACGACACAGTTTGACACACTCATTCGAAAAGAGCCAGAGTCCAGGAGCACCTTAAAGACTAACAACATATGTGGCAGGGGATGAGCTTTTGGGGGTCACTGCTCACTCCTTCAGATCTTGATCTGAGACACTCATGAGTGACACTCCACTCTGCAGTACTGACCGAGGTACTCGTCCTTGTTTCTCTACAACAGTATACAAGACTCACCTATACTGAAAGTCAGGGAAAAGATCCACCTTTTCATCACTTTAAGCCATGGGCACGATTCTGCCAACGTCAAGTCTCGGTTGTGCCAAGCAGAGTTAAGCACATCAACAGGATCCGCACACAGTAATCCAGTATGGTGCTGTGATTAGGGTGTCAGACCATAACCTGGGAGAGCCAGATTCTAATCCCCTCTCTGCCTTAAAGCTTGTTGGGAGACTCTGGGACACTCACTCTTCTGCGGCTTATTCTGCCTTCCTGGGGTGGTTGTTGTGAGGGTACAACAAGAGAAGTGCAGAAAAATGTACACTGCCTTGATTTAAGTGTACTAAGTAAACATTGTGCACGAGTTTAGCAATCCACCATTTAAATCCGTGGGACTAACAGCCCAGTGCTATGCATGCTTGCTCAGAGTAAATTTCACTGAGCAGGCTAAGAAGGATTCATCTTAAACTGGATCTACTGATTTTCTGTGATCAGATACAGGGGAGACGAGACAGTTGATGGGGAAACGCTGAAACAAAATCTGAAGACCCTATCAATTAAGCCGATACGCACGTCACCAAAATTGCTTAATCTGAGCACACTTGATTTAACTTCACCGCATAGGTACAGTTAATGCCAAAGCATCCATGGTATTGCATAAGGGAGAAAGACTGATGTCTGTGCAAAGGTGCTTTTCTTTAAACTCAGGGAATATATTCAACCTTTTTAAATAAATACCGAGGACTTTAAACTATCCTGACAACTGTGTGAGCAAAAGGGTGCCTAAATAGGGACAACACTGGAGCTGTAGCACTACGGCAATAAATGCCCCTGGATGCAAGTAAACATCTGCACTTCCAAGTAAGCATGGAATGAGTCTAGGTGCTTGTGAGCTCAATCCACAGCAGGACAATGCCAGTGGTGCATATATTAAATGTGGGGTTCAGGGGAGAAGTGATTGAAAAGTTTAGGAAGTGCTTCGAGGGACTCCCCTTAATACTACATACAGTGACATTCCACCATTCAGGAACAACAAATGAAGAGAGACAACTTGTGAAAATTTGCAAAAAGAAAGGTTTAAACGCAGAGCGGGGGGAGGGGGGGGATACGCGTTTAGTTCGCGGGTCAAAGGGAACGGGATTTGTCTCCGCTCCAGAATGTGCCTCCCGGCCTACAGCAATCAAACGCCGATCCCCCCTCAAGCAAACAAAGGGCACCCCCAGAACCACTCGTCTCCATTCAAGAAGCACCAACCACCTGCAGTCGGTCAAAACACAGTGCCTAACTCGCCTGTCTGTAAGGAAACGGGGGCAGGGATCCAGCGGACCGAAGGAGCCCCCCTCCCCTCCCAACCCACAGATCCCAGGCAGGCTCCTTTGGGAAGTCCGGAACGGCCAAAAACAAAAGCGCCCGAGTCTTGCGCGGCCCCTCCGACCGCCTCCTGTCTCCAGATCCCAGCTCTCCTCCCCGCCTCCTCGTCTCCCCGACTTCCCATTGCCGGAGGAAGCGAATCTTCGCCTTCGCACACTCGGCTCCTCCAAAACTTCCTCGAAGTTTGCGCGCAACAGGCGGCTGCCCGCCAGGCTTTCCCCCGCCGCAACAGCCACACGCAGCGGCGCACAGCCCGTCTCTCCCTCCCCAAGCAAGATTCGTCCCAACAGGGAAAGAAGAAGTCCCCATCACGAATCAACCGATCGCCCAGAGGCTGCGGAAGCAGATCCCGGCGCTCCAATAGCCGATCCGGCTGAGATTACTTGGCTCCGGGGCGGGAGGGGGGGGGAAGACAAAAACACCGGCCCGGGGGTAGAAATTGAGGCCGGCGTGCGCTCTACCTGCTTTTCCGGCGAGGAGCAGGACGGCGGGTCTGGCTCCCTCTGCCTCGGCGCGGCGCTCCGGCCAGCGTGCCTGAAGGTCTGGGACAACAGCTACGCCCCTGGCTGCGCCCCCCCAGACGAAGCTTGGCTCGGTCCGGGCGCTGGGAGCTCACTTGTCGCCGCCGCCGCCTCTTCTCCTCTCCATGGCCGCTGCAGCTGCTGCGCCCCACTGGATAGCTCGAAAGCGCCCGGCTCCTGGAGAGAGCTGGCGCGAGTGGCAGCCCCAGGCGCGGGTGGCAGCTGGGCCAAGAGACTTCTTTTAAAGAGAGGGTCACGTCTGCACGCTCCGATCGGGGGGGGCGTCTGGCCGGGGGTGGGGGCGACGGGTGAGCTGGGCGGGAGAAAGGCGACTTAAGGCATTCTTGGGCGCTCTGATTGTCGCCCAGCCTATGAGGAGTTGGGGATTACTGCGTGTCAATTTATTGCCTCGATACTTTTTTTTTTTCTTTCCTTACATTTTTTTGAACGAGAAAGTTGTTCTTTCTTCTTTGGGGGGGCTCCACCTAGAGAGAGAACTTCGGGACTGCAGGGCTGGCTCAGAGGTGGACCTGCAAGTCTCTTTAGGTTACAGTTGAAATAACGGTTGGCAGAGACCGAAAGAAAGAAAAAGGTCTCGATGCATATTGTCTCGGCGTCTATATAATAATCAGCTGAGACAGCAAACTGGATCTCCGCCGGCTGCATACTGTCGGGGGGCGGAGGAGGGTGGAGATGACCTTAAACCGAATAAACAAACGGTCCCAAGTGGACTGCGGAAGAGGGGCGTTGGGGAACAGCGCCTCCTTGTGTTCGGAGCAAAGAGGGCAACGCATGCTGACATCTGGCCTGCTGTTTGAGCAGTGGCACCTTCCAGGGAATTCTGTTTCCAACCGTTCCATTTCTCCGGGAATTGAGAGAATCAGCTGCTTCCAGAGAAATCTTTACATACTGTGTGGATCCTTTTCTGGATCTTTCTGTGCTCTGGAAGTGCCTCAATCAAGGGACACTCCTATGTCCAGTCTAACTGAGGTGTATTGCGATTTCTATGAAACAAGGGCCAATTCTGCCTCAGAACTTTGTTACTGGTTCTACGTCCCAAGCGCTTGTTATAAATCAGATAACTCCCTGACAGATGCCATGCCCATGGATGCCTTGTGTTATGTGCGCAGACTGACACCAGGGGTCCCTGGGGAAGCAGGAGCTTGGTCCCCAAACACAAAGGGGACCTAGGATCCTAGTCCACCTAGAGTCCACCAATAGCACCCTTGGTGGGAAATTCAAACTCTCCAATGGGGACAGAGGGGTGCCGGGTGGGAGTGTATATAGTTGGCCTTGCAGGGCCGTTTTTCCTTGTCTTGTTGTGAAGTACAATAAACGCGTCTGAACGCATGTTGTAGTCCGAGTTCTCCATGCATCAAACCCAGTACTTTTCACGTTGGTACTCACTGGCGTGTTTCGGAGGGGGGCACTTCTGTCTTCTCCAAAGCATCTCTCTCCCCAACGCAAACAGCCAGCCCTCCTGGCTTTCCTATACCTCACTGGAAGTGTTTCAGAAGAGCCTTTTCTGTCTGTAGGGATACCCATTCAAAAAAAAAGTGGCCGGAGAAGGAGAAGAAGGAGGAGTTAGTTTTTATACCCTGCTTTTCACTACACAAAAGAGTCTTGGAGCGGCTTACAATCTCCTCCTCTTCCCTTCTCCTCCTCACAACAGATACCCTGTGAGGTGCATGTGGGACAGAGAGCGCTCTGAGAGAACTGCTCTTGAGAGAACAGCTCTGAGAGAGCTGTGACTGACCCAAGGTCACCCATCTGGCTTCATGGGAGGAGTGGGGAATCAAACCCAGTTCTCCAGATTAGAGTCGTGCTGCTCTTAACCACTACACCGCATCTCCCAATGTGTTATGATTATGGCAGCCATTTTACGATTGGTTGCAATCAGCCCCATGGCAGCCATTTTGTGAGAGTGCCCACTACCTGTTTAAAAATTCCAGTAATTCCCTCAGACTCAGGAAAGTTTGGGGAGTATGCTATTATAAACAACTGAATGAAATTAGACTTGCCAGAGGTGCCAGTCTCTTTCCTATGTGCTGGTGGAGTGGGGAGGTGTGGAGTGCATGGCACAACCTCACATCTCATTTTCTATACACAGGGAGAGTCCCCCTTCCCCTCTGGGAGAGAATTCAGTCCCAAATTCCTACAGTTTGAAGGGGACCCGATTTTCTTTTGGTCCTATCTGCTGTGGGTTAATCCCTTTGGTCAAACTGTGAGGAACCACTAATCCCCACAAGCTTTACTCAGGATGTACTAAATTCTTAATGCTTGAGAGGAACGTCTGCGAGGAAGACAAGAAGTCACTAGTGAGGCAAAGCTCTTCCTAGACCCACCTTGTTTCCCTGTGTATCTAATCAGAATTTCAAAGCAGGATGTGGCCCAATAAAGTCCCAATAAAGGAGAACAAACTAATATTTACCTTATTAGCCTTTTTCAAAAGTACTTATAGGAACCACTGCTTGGAATTTCTACTACAGGCACCAAGAAAAAGAAAAGAGGAAAAGATTGGATTTATACCCTGCCCTTCACTACCCGAGGAAGTCTCAGAGGGGTTTACAAATCCCTTTCCCTTTCTCTCCACACAACAGATACCCTGTGAGGTAGGTGGGGCTGAGAGAGCTCTTTTGAGAACTGCTGATGAGAGAACAGCTCTAAGAGAACTTGTAACTGACCGAAGGTCATATCAGCAACTGCATGTGTAGGAGTGGGGATAGCATGGCCAGTTTCTGCTAAGAAGGCAGGAAAAAATCACTAATAACGTACAGTTTTGTTAACTTGGACAAGATTTAGACAGAGGGGCTACATTCCAACTCAGTAGCAACAGCTATTTGAACGGAAAATTATCTTCCAAGCCTGCCTTTTAAAAAGTCATTGTTGCGTTAAAAAATGTATTTCCCAATATTGTACTTTGCATGTAAACATTTGGATCTTGCACTGTTTTGCAAAGTCAAACATGGTTAAAACTGACCTCCCTCCCTCCATCCAAGGTCAACAGCAAAGATTACCATTGATTATAATGCAATTTATATCACACCCATTCTGTATAGGCATGAACTTCAGGAGCTTATGTACACTGCTAAGAACTGGTGGTGTAGATAAAGTGGAGCAATACAGAAGACTGGACTTTGACAGGCTGGCCTTTATGATCACGAAATGAACTGAGCCTGCATTAACGAACGTGCCTTTCTAGAAAGCAGGTTTTGTTTCATGCCAGCGTGTGAAGTTCTCCAGTAATGGAGGGGGGGGGAGAACTATGTGACATTGGAAACTACAGCAAAATGTCCCTCTAACATTTTTGTTTTATTTTTACTTACTTCGTTTACATCCTGCCTTCCTCCCCAACAGGGACCCAAAGTGGCTTACATCATTCTCTCTGCCCCCATTTTATCCTCACAATGATCCTATGAGGTTGGCTAGGCGAAGAGTGGTATTGACTCAAGGTCACCCCCAGTGAGATTCCATGACACAGACAGTGGGAATCCGAACCCAGGCCTGCCAGATCCTAATCCCACATGGTGGAAGGGCAGTTTATTTATTTATTTTATTTAGGCATTTTTACCCCACCCTCCCCGCGAGCGGGCTCAGGGCGACTTACAAGGGGCATAAGCCCATACATAAAACCAGATAAAACAATAAAATCATGAATAATAACAATAACAATAATAAAGCGCTTTCTGTAAACAAGATGGTCTTTGAGTAGTTTTGATGGCATCAGTCATTTCCTTAAATCCTTCCCTTGGGGTGATACTCTCCAGTAGATAGTTCAAGCCAATCCCACAATGTCAGTGCCATACAATTCATGGTGGAACTTCCAAGGGCGGTTCCTAATCCTGATGTAATCGCCAACATTGGTGGTGGTGGCGGCGGCGGCCCCTATTCGAAAGCCTGGCGGAAGAGCTCCGTCTTGCAGGCCCTGCGGAACTGCATAAGGTCCCACAGGGCCCTGATCTCCTCCGGGAGCTCGTTCCACCAGGTAGGGGCTGCCACTTAGAAGGATCTGGCCCTGGTCGCAGCAAGCTTTGCCTCCCAGGGGCCTGGAATCACCAGGCGGTGTTGGGTCCCCAACCGAAGTGCTCTTGGAGGTATATGTAGGGAACGGCGGTCCCTCAGGTAAGTCGGACCCTGGCCATATAGGGCTTTAAAGGTGAGTACCAGCACTTTGAAGCGGATTCGGTATGCTATTGGCAGCCAGTGCAGCTCTTTCAACCCAGGCCGGATGTGCTCCCACTTGGGGAGACCCATCAACAGCATTCTGCACTAGCTGCAGCTTCTGGATCTGCGACAAAGGCAGCCCCATGCAGAGAGCGTTACAGTAGTCTAACCTTGAGGTGACCATCGCATGGATCACTGTAGCCAGGTCATCGCGGTTGAGGAAGGGAACCAACTGCCGAATCTGCCTAAGATGGTAAAATGCAGATCTGGCAGTGGCTGCCACCTGGGCCTCCATAATTAGGGAGGGATCCAGGAACACTCCCAAACTCCTAACCTCCGACGCTGGCATCAGAGGCACCCCATTGAAGGTCGGGAGAGGGAGCCCCAACCCAGGACCGTTCCGGCTCAGGCACAGGACCTCCGTCTTCGCTGGGTTTAGTTTCAGCCGGCTCAGCCTGAGACACCCAGCCACAGCCTGTAATTCCCGGTACAGATCTTCTGGGTCGGAGCCCGACCAGCCACCCAACATCAGACAGAGCTGGGTGTCATCTGCATATTGGTGACAACCCAGCCTATACCTCCTGGCAAATCTGGGCGAGGGGACACATGTAGATATTAAACAACATTGGGGAAAGCACCGTCCCCTGAGGCACACCACACTCAAGTGGGTGCCTCCGAGACTGCTGTTCCCCTATCGCCACCCTCTGTCCCCGACCTTGGAGAAAAGAGGCAAGCCATTGAAGAGCGAGCCCCTGTATCCCCATGTCGGCGAGACAGTGGGTCAGCAACTGGTGGTCAACTGTATCAAATGCAGATGACAGATCTAACAACAACAGTGCCGCCACACCACCTCGATCCAGATGCCACCGGAGGTCGTCAGTAAGGGCGACCAGCACTGTCTCCGTCCCGTAACCAGGGCGAAAGCCAGACTGGAGTGGATCCAGGACAGAAGCGTCATCCAGAAAGCTCTGAAGCTGTGTCGCCACCGCCCTCTCAATCAATTTGCCCAAATAGGGCAAATTAGACACTGGCCGATAGTTGGCCAATT